TTTTTTTTTTTTTTTTTTTTTTTTTTTTTTCAAATCACCTCTCCAGGCTGAACGAAAAAAGAGGAAAAGGTGGAGCCTGGGATATAAAACTGCCGGAATTTTGTCTCACGGAAATTGACGGAATCAGTGATGTCAAGACAGTGAAAATCAGTTCTGAAGATGCTCAGTGGGACGCTGGACCCGTTTTCCAGCCGGTGCCACTCCCCACCAATAGATTGGAGCAACCAGGTGGCCCGCTAGGAGGGGATGCTCATATCACTCCCCCATGTTTCTCCTTTCTACAGATGTCAGATACTGAGGCTGGACAGGGCCAAGCGCGAAGCCTTGAGCCCCAGCCAGCTCCAGTCATGTGTGTTCGTGCTATCTGTGTGTTATCCATGGTTCTTGATACCGAGGCCAGGCAAGGACAAGCGCGAAGCCTTGAAAACCCCAGCCTAGCCCCAGTCATGTATGTGTATATGCCATGGTTCTAGATACTGAGGCTGGACAGGGACAAGCGCGAAGCCTTGATCTCCAGCCAACCCCAGCAGTAGTGTGGACCCCCACCAAGCCCCAATTGAGTTCTGTATATATGTGTAGGGTTGTATTGTCCTATGAATGGTGGGCCGGTCTGTGCAAGAAACCGCCCCAAAGTCTCTAGCCAGACTCGAACCCACACCCTGTGTTGTGTAACTACAATGCCCTATCTTATGTGCTGTCTTCTTAATTGATGCCAATGTATGGAATGCCAGAACAGGGGAGAATTTCAGAACAATCAATAGCTACATCAAGCAACCCACGCATAGTCAAGACCCAGCATACAACAACCAGGACTACCCCTTGGGTGGTGCGCAGGCAGTGTCTGTAATAGTACCATGCGTCAGCCCAAGGGGATGTATGTCCAGCCGTGACTTTTATTTCCAATATCGAAGCGCAACAGGGAGGCCGGGGACCCCACAATTCAACCCGGACTGGAACTCATGCTGGAAACCGGGTCCAGCGTCCGTTATTCATGTGACCGCTCTGTAAACCTAATGCTTCTCAGAAATTGACCATTGAAGCGCTGAAAAAGGCAGGCTGGGGTGGGGCTGGACTGCAGCATCTAATACAGCCCTAGACCCACATCCGATTCCATGATATTACGTTAGCCAACAATACGGCATAACTAATCATGAGTCTTTTTTTTTTT